AAAAGGAGAAAAAAAAAGTATCTTGCAGCCTCGCACCAATACACGCCCTCCAAACTTCGGTACCCGACGCGAGGCTCTCTTCGACGCCCGGAATTCAGTTATTTTTGCTCCTTCTCGCCAGCTGTTTCTCGTAATTAAAGTGTCCTTTTCCCCGCCGCCGGCGCGGCCCTTTTCTTTTTCCCGGCAGTTTCAATCGAAAACACGCTCGGCCAAGCTCTTCGATTCTCGCGAGCTTGAGGATACCATGGAGCCGCGTGCTAGGCCGGCTTCGGATAAAGAAGAACGGGCTGGTCGAGCCGAGAAAAGACAGAGAAAGCTGGAAGCAGCGGCTGCCGCGAGCGCGTCGGCGGGTGTCGCGACGACGAGTAATTAGCCCGAGCACTAAGAGCCAGCTTCCGCACGACGAATGGGCCTGATTGAGCCGCAGCAGCGAACCTGCCTGCCGTTCTCGAATTCGCTCATATGCGAAGAGCGTTCGTCAGCCCGACGCACCGCGATCGGGACAGCTCTTAATTTCTCTTCACTTACACGCGGTCAACGTTCGTGGAGATTGGTGGCGTTTAATTTGCATTGCCGTTTACACTCCTAATGTTGGACCGTAATGACGACAGCGCGGAATCGGCAGCACTTCTCACCCCTTCCACGTATACGCTTATCGTGAGCACTTGGTGCGGCCGAGACGGGGGCATGCGCTTTTCCTTCGAGATGTTCTAACGCCAGCCGCAGTAGTGCCGCTGCCGTTCCGCGGCTTGAGTGCGCTCTCTTGGAAGCGCAGCGCATTCTGTTATTCCGGAATTGAATGGAAACTGTCGTCCTTCATTGGGCACGTTGTCATGTTGCAGTCTTTTCCCTTCCATTTGCTTCTTGGCTTCCGTTAACGATGCCCGGAGGAGTCTTTTTCAAGACAAAATCACTTTACTTATGCTCAGCGAAACAACTTAAGCATTTATTTCCACTTTAAATCTACCAAGTCAAGCCCTTGCATAACTTTTCTCTATTTTCTAGCTGATCAGCGGCTGTGAGTGATACGAAAGCGGCACGTTCGTATACCGCTTGAATCATTTACTGACTTCTTGCCGTTACCTTCACCATCCCAGGTTATTACAGACCACCAAGAAATTTCAGATGCTATACTGAGAACGAAAAACCGCCCGACTCTCTTTTCAGGAAGGGCTAATGGCACCCGGTGACAAAAAATGACACCCGGCGCTGAAGAGGCATAAATAAAACAAGGGGACCCTAAAGCTTCGCCTTTTGGAGTTGAACGCAATAGTGATATCCTGTTCCTTGTGCGTACCTCGAACACTTATTGCATGAAAGCTTTTTGAACTTGCTATGCACCTACTACATGACCTTAAGAGAATAGGCGCAGTAGTGTGTGTTCCTTTTGGGGTGGGTAACCGGATTGAAACCACGAAGCTATTATGAATCACATGTTCTGACACCCACTGGCAATTGGCGCTTGTACCACGCGATATTACGGCAATATTACATGTTGAATTGTGAAGCATGTATACAGGACGCATGTGTTTGTGAAGCATGAAAGCTACTTTCACTACATTTCCAAGCAGAGGAAGTTATTCTCTCTACATTCTCAATGAGATGCGTGGCCGTGTGGTAGGACATCCGCTTGCCACGAAAACGACCTGGATTTGATCCCCACTCGAACCTAAGTGACCCTTGTTCGGTCCCCACTCTTACCCAGGATTTTTCATCGTTTTTTGCATCGTTATCGATTTTGCAGTCACGCATGAGATGACTATTTTTCGCTCAAAACCAGTGGTGCCACTGCTGGAATTTCTGCAAAACGAGCTCTTCAACGCTATCGCGTTAAAATTGAGATGCTTTCTGTGTGTTCGGATAATAAAATATTTTGAGAAAAACAACTGGAGCAGGGGGAGCAGCACCGGAAAACTACGCCTAAAAGTATATGCCATCAGGTCGAAAGATAGAAAGCGCAGCATGCACGGCACGTCACCACACACACACAAAAAAAAAAACGAAAAAAAAAACGGAAGAGGGTAGAAGCGAGAGGGTCGAGAACATAAGCCTCTGCTTCCACGAGGCTATTACCCTGGAGTACACTTATCGTGTTGCTGTGTTGCCCCTCAGCGGTCCTCCAATAATAAGCTTCCCTCCACACTCGTGGCCCGAATCGCGTCATCTGAGGTCGTTTGTTGCACAGATATCGAGCAGTCTTCTTGTCATAGCCGTCGAGCGATGCTTAGTATAACGTTCGTAGCGGCAGGGGGTGCTGTTTGGCATGCAGAAATAAATAATGCGACAACACTGCAAAGCATGCGAAACCGCTGTGAAGGGGAGGAAGACGAGAAATAAAGAAATTAATGATCGCACACTGCGAGCGGCCCTGATGAACGAGGAAGTGGTTCCGCCGATCGAAGTCAGCCGTTCGGGATTAACACATATCTGCGGGTATTCAAAATACTTACAAACTAAATAGTGCATGCTGTTTCTTTATACAAAGTAGTTGAAGACACGACAATAACGACGGGGCGATGACACCGGTGACTGAAAAATAATGGCGACGCTTCATCAGCTACCGGTGACATATAATCACGCTGCATTGCGGGAGTCATAAACCGAAGAGTGGGGAGCTCATAAACACGGTTCATCATAGTTTAGAGTGATAGGTTAATTATTTTCAAGTGACGCTTAGTCCGAGAGGATGTTATCTTTGTCCAGCTTTTTTTTTCCGGTTTGAGTGAGCCATTAAGTTTACGGTACGAAAAACTCACAGCCATTCATTCTTTTTTTTTTCTTCTCCCGTTTCGCCCTTTTCCTGCTTTTTAAATAAGTTTTCTATTTGTTTTAACTTTTATTGCTGCTGCTAACATAAATCTGATTCTCTGAAGCTTCTTACAGCCTCAGCGCTTCTTTTCCATGGTTATCCCGGCCGTGCATTCGAAGGCGTCTTTATTGGGATACTGCTCTCGTTACACCGTCCTGCTCTATTTTTGGCCAATGTTAGCGATTGCGAGAGCTTTATTGTCGTTTCCTTAGTTCTTGCACACTGCACGCGTCGACGACGGCAGAAAGGATTTTCGTGCGAAGAGGTACTGAGCTGCTCCGGCTAATGATCACGAAGCTAATCTTGTACACATACACTAATACACGAGAACGTGAGCACAGCTGCCGCGTTAGCTTAATTGGCAAAGCACCGCGCACGTAATGCGGTAGGTGCGAAGACTTGGCTTCCACCTGCGTCTGTTTCTATCGTCTACTTTCGCTTCACGTCACGTTATTGCGTTTACTATTTTATTAAGCATAGAAGTGAATTTCTGTTATGCTTTTTTTAGAATCTTTGCCTACGTTTACGCATGGTTGGCATACATTAAACAGCTTTCCGATCATCTTATTATTGTCGCTCAGGAGCCTCAACAGCACCACAGATATGAAACGCGTTTTGGCAAAACAAACTGTTCGATGCGAGCAGGGATGATTGGTGACAGGAAGCACACAAGAAAGTATGAATCAGCCAGGATGGTGGACAATCTTGTGGCCGTTCCAGGAGACGCACCTTCGTGAAGACGGCGTATCGGAACAACAACAACAAAAAATAATTGGATATATTGGCAAGTGCTTCCACAGAACTCCTTAGAAAGCTCTGCCACATTTACGCTCAAGTTGTCAAATGCTACGGGCCTACATCCCTCGACAACACTGCCTGCTGCATGCGTGATTTACCTTGTTCTTTATCTGATCTCTTTCGCAGTGGTATGGCGTACTCCCCCAACTGTGATAGCCGCCAATGTGTAGAAACTCTCGACCATGTACTCTGCCAATCTACAGACTTAGAACAAGATCGCCGGACTCTCCAGTGTGCCTTAAAGAGGCTGGATGATCGACTCTTCACACTGGAGAAGATCTTGGGAGCGTGGCCTTCAAGTACTTGAGCCCAGAAAGCCACACGAACCCTTCCACAATTCTTGATGGCAACATCACTGTGCGACCGCATGTTAAATCTGAATTGTGTGTGCGGTGTGTGTGTTATATGTAAGGCGTATATCGTCTCCTCTCTCTTGCTGACCCGCAGGGCGCGGGTTCGAATCCCGGCTGCGGCGGCTGCATTTCCGATGGAGGCGGAAATGTTGTAGGCCCGTGTGCTCAGATTTGGGTGCACGTTAAAGAACCCCAGGTGGTCTAAATTTCCGGAGCCCTCCACTACGGCGTCTCTCATAATCATATAGTGGTTTTGGGACGTTAAACCCCACATATCAAATCAAATCGTCTCCTCTCTCTCTCTTTTTCTTTCTAATTCCCCTCTCCCCCGTGTAGGGCGGCAAACTGGACTTAGTCTAGCTAATCTCCCTACCTTTCTGATTTTTCTTCTCTCTGTGTGTCTCTGCCCTCCCCCCCCCCCTCCGGTCTACTACATACTTTTCCTTACCACCTTTTTTTTCTCTCCATCTCTCATGTAACTAAAAATTGATAAATGATAACATCAGTTGATGTTCCCGAGAATACCTTTCTCGCTCACCAATTTGTTCTGCTTCGGACCTTCTGTCTCCTCACGGCACCACTGAAGAGCAGACTCGAATCATTACAAACCAAAATCACGTACGCTAAAGACTCTAAGCGGCACCAATTGAGCATCATTGCCCTGCAAACATCAAAATCATGTGCATCGCATCAATGGTCAATGTACGCGCATGTGCAATACGTCTGGGATCAGATGCAGATAAATAGAAAGAACAATGTGCGTTGTCCGCAAGACCTCGGCGGGCCCCTCGGTAACGTTCCCAGTACGTCCATAGGTTGCCTTTATAACGGTTACATGGGAAGCTAACGCAATCATGGAGACCATGTGCGCGTTTAAGAGAAAGCGAAGGACCAGCAGGCCCTGACAATTCTTCCCATGTGGAATTCGGCAGAGCGAAATGTATTCGTTGATCAAATGCCAACCGTTACCTCCATTCACGTGATATATCTGCAGAATAGCGCCAGAAATCTTGTTCACAAAAGACAGTGGAAGATAAAACATGGGCAAGTAATTTTTTTCTGTTTGCTTTGAAACTGCTCACTTGATATATATTGAGGACGCCCCTTTGGTGAATAAAATAGCACTTAATGGCCCAGCTTTATTCCGTATCGCGTGTGTGTGCCCAGCCAGCTAAGGCATAATCGGTTCAAAGAGATTCGCCATGAAGCTCTTATGTGTAGTGCTGTCTTCTCCCGACGAAAATTATTTCCTTGCTCAAAAATTTTGCTTTCATGGTACAGATGTGCTCGTTTCTCGCTTTCTTTTCCTTCCTTGGATTTCCTGACAGAGCATGCGCTCAAGCCCTGCTTGTGCAACGTTGTCGTCATGCGGCCTTGGAGAATGGAGCTCTGCGGGTAGAGCGGGATGAGAGAGAGGCTCTTCATCGAGCCTTGTGTACACGTAGGATTTCGTGGAGCCCCTCAAGGGTTTCGAGCGTCTCGCAGAAGCGGAGATTAAAAAAAAAGCGAGCCCTTCATGTCTTCGTTGCTCTGTTTCTGTAACTGAACGGGGCTCAAACGCCATGTGCGTAGGGGCGGGATCGTCCCAGTCGGTGATTTTTGTGTTGCCAAGCACGGGCTAAGATGGGCATAGACGGTAGCGGTGGTCTGGGCGTTTCTTATTAATTTAATAACGTCCCCGGGGTAGTTCTCATCGTGAGATGCGTCGCTTTTCTTTATCTTAACTCTTAAATGATCTTGGGAAAGCACAACCTTAAACGGGCTTCTCTATAAACCTGTCTCTATATCATTATTATTTATTCTCCTCCTCTGATCCGGTGCGCGCGTGCGTTGCCAATTTTTGCTGTGCTGAGAGCACGCGCGGACACGAGAAAGCAAAAGAGTGAAAATAATAAAACACAAAGAGTGCCTTGACGGTTCGTGTTTCTCTTCCATTTACTTTCGGTCGCCACGATTTACTTTCTTTTTTGTGCTCTTCAGTGTCTCTCTAGGAATGAACTCCGCTTTGGCACGAACGCACAGTCGAGCTCGCAGAGGCACATACGGGCCGGCTCGCCGGCCAAGGGAATGAGGAGCTTTATGAAGTTGCACGCCAGCCCAGGGCAGCAGCGATGGTGACACACGCGCCACGCGAAGACCGAGACGCTCCGGTGGAATCCATTTGTGTGTGCGTGGGCCAGGGCGCCTATACTCCTCTGAGCAGGGCTGCACAATTGGCCCTTGGAACATTCTTTACCAGATCGCCCAAGCTGGCTCGCTGGCTGGCTGCCGTAGCCTCCTCGCGGTGTCGTTTTCGGCCACGCAGCGACGAGCGGCCGCGCTCACTGGCCGCCCCTTGGCGCATTCTTTCTCGCGGGGCTCCGGCTCCTCTGGTCCTTCTGTCCTGGTCCTAGCGTCCTCGTCTTTCCTTAACTCGATTCTCTTTTCCTCGCCGCAGTTGGCGTTTTATGCTTTACCGGGGCGTTACGTCTTTCTTCGGTACCAAAACGGTGGTGTCGCCTTCGTCTCGCGCCCTTGTGGTGAGGGTCTCGCAGCCAGCCCGGGATGCGACTGCGTTGCGAATTCGAGAACGAGCTTGCGAGAAGGGAAAGCGCAACGACAGCGGGAACGATCCAAAGCGGCCAGACGGATGGGCCTAGGAAACAAGTCCGGAAAACTCGCGTGGAACGTGCTTTCTTCACAGCGCGATCAATAAAAGTTCCGTTTTATTTTCCTTCCAAACGACCGTTTGCTTTCTTTATTCCCTCTGGCGTACGGTTTGTCGTGCTTTCGTTTAATGGGGATGCCCGGCTTTGTAGCGCTCTGTCCTCGCTCGCGCGGCCTTTGTTTCACATCGGAATCCTCAGCCACCCGTTCGTAGTCTTGGGGCCTCACCGGCAGCGGAAATAGCGAAGCCAGGCGCCGCTCTTTGATAGGGCTGGCGCGAGCACACAGAGGCAACGCGACACCGCTCCCCTTATGCTGCTGCTCGTCCAGCACTGGGCCCGCCGTTGTCCCGCACGGCGTGCTGTCTCTCATATTTCGGCCAAACGAGGAGAGGGGCACAATGTTCGGAAATTCGGCCTCATATGTGAAAGCCCCGCTGCTTCCAAGTCCATCTTCTCCTTTCCCGCTGTTGACGCGTTCTTTCCGGGTCCCGTGTCGTCCTGTTTTCCATCACGCCAACAACGAGTCTTCGCAAGCGTCCAGTGACAATCTGATGAAAGCTGGCGGTAACTTCGTTTTGTGTGTTTGTGTAAGTTTACTAACTTAAAGGTTTCTGGCTCTCTTTTCAGGTGTTTTGCTTTCAGCCTCGCCTAAAATAAAATAAATAAAAAAAATAAGCAAGCATAGACAGAGTAAGGGAGGAAAAGACAAAAATAAAGAGAAGGCTTCTCAGAAATTCGCTCCAGAAACCGTTTGTCCTCACTGAGTTAGGCATGTTCAATGTTATTCGTTCGGTACAACTTCGCAATGCAGAAATTCGATGTCACTTCGTATAACTGGAGGGATGGTCACTGCACAGACAGCATAAAAACTTGTAGATCCGGATGTGCTTTTGTGTGTCACAAAACTAATTCAGGTTGTATTGTTATTGTTTATTCTAAAACCGTGTGTAGAACTACCGTCCAGAAAGGCAGTAGCAGATACCTGACAAGGAAAACGAGGAAGGGGGGGGGGGAAACAATAGCACAGTCAGCTATCAGATCGCCAATTTTTTCTTGCCAGGCGTACGCGTGGTGCACTGTCCTCGTGGCTATATCACCAACGTGGATCGCTGCACTTCACAAAATTCACCATAGGTCACGCATGTGATTCCAGTACCAAGGTAAAACAACGGCCGAAAATAATGAGACGAGAAAAGAGGGGGAGAAGCAACGGATGCTTGAGTAGAAGTACAGATTGGCTTCCTTGAGCTAAGGAAAAGGGGAAAGAGAATAAAAATGTGATGGAAAGATAAAATAAAATTCGACGAAATTTCTTCGTGCATCTGCATGGTCAAGTTATCCATTCGAGAGAATAGTCAACAACCAGTTGTGTCCCCGTGCAGCGTGAGTATAAATGTGGCTTTAAATTAGCTACATCAGATTTGTGCCATCTCAGTAGTCGTGATCTATGCCTCATTAAAGCATGCGTCAGAGGTACGTCACTATTAAAACAGTGGTGTTTTAGCATTGAATATTGGACAGAAGAATAACGAGTATTATGGAAGCTATGGTGCTTTCCAGCGCATAAAGACACCCCAAAATGCCAGGCAGTCATTCACTCGGCGGACTGACTGACCTGTAGTGCCATTTTTTATGAAAAGGAACACGATGGACTGATAGATTGATATGGCTGTACCCTTTAGATCGGGTGGTGGCTAACGCCACCAAGTCATAATGCTTAGTGAACCAAAAACTAGATTTTTTTTCCTTTAAATAATGAGGTTGAGGACTGATACTTTGCAGTGAAAGATTTAATTTTCACTCGTGCTTTCACTTTAACCACCAATCAGATAACCTCCTTCTAGTTAATTCTACCCGCTTAAAGTCTATTTTGCCCTCCCTGTCCCTAAACCACAGTGCTTTGAAAAACTCTGCGCCATCATCCTGAACTATAAGGTGAAGCCCTTTACAGAACATTTTCAAGTGTTCGGCACTTTCCTCTTTCTCTCCACACGCACTGCATACCGTGTCTACCCGCATTTGGCCCGATATGTCTTGGTTCGCAATACTTCCGTCCTGGCTTCAAACAGTAGAGAACTACTCCGAGTATTATCATAGATCCTTTCCTTGGTAATTTCCTGCTTAAAAGTTTGATATATCTCTAGTGCGGACTTCCTAAACATGCCAATTCTCCACACATCGGTCTCAGCTTCCTTCACCTTCTTCGTAACCGATAATTTTCTTTTTTGGTTTGGCCTCCTGTTGTTTTCTGAGTATTTACCAGTCAATTTTCTGGTTCGCTTCCTCCATTTTGTATCAACATTCTTCATGTACAAGTAGCTGAACACCTTCCTAGCCACTACGCTCCTTCCCCATTTCTCTCAATCGCTTCTCAAACCTTATCTTGCTGCTAGCTTCCCTGCCCTCAAATGATGTCCATCCAATATCACCTTGTACCCCCTTTTTTGGTGCATTTCCATGAGCGCCCAAGGCAAGCCTACCTATTCCACGTTGCTTAATTTCCAATCTTTCTTGAACTTCTGATCTTATGCACAAGGTTACATTGCCGAACGTCAGACCAGGAACCATGACCCCTTTCCATATTCATCTCAGAACATCATACGTATTGTAATTCCACTGTGCCCTATTTTTCATCACTGCTGCATTCCTGTTACCTTAAGTTGACACGTATATTTTGTGTTCCCTCAAATACTTGGTCCCATTGCTTATTCATACGCCCAGATATTGGTATTTATTTGTTATCCCTAGCGTGATTTCCTGTATTCTAAGCTCACTACCTTCAATGTCATTAAAAATCATGACTGCTGATTTTTTCTTACTGAATCAGAAATCTAACTTATCTCCCTCATTACCGCAGATGTCTATCAATCTTTGCATATCTTCCTTGTTGTCGGCCATTAGCACTATATCATCTGCGTACATCAATGCTGGTAGTGCCTGATCAATGAGTTTTACTTGCTTGACGAAAGAGAGATTGAAGCCGAGTCCACTTCCCTCTAATTTGCCTTCTAATCCTTGTAGGTACATCATGAATTACAAGATTGACAGAGGAAACCCCTGATAAGCCCTCGTTTTACCTCTGTGGGCTTGGATACCCGTTTTTCACACTTGATAACTACCTTGTTACCTTTATAGATATCTTTTAAAATATTAGTGACTCCAACTTCCAGACCTAGTGTGTCCAGTATTCCCCACAAGTCCTCCTGAACCACGCTATCGTACGCACTCTTGATATCCAAAAATGCTAGCCACAGGGGCATGTGTTCCTTTTCTGCTATTTCGATGCAATGCTTCAGTGAGAACAGATTGTCTTCCAACCTCCTGCGTTTCCGAAACCCATTCTGCAGTTCCCCCAGCACCCACTTATCCTCTATCCATGCCTGAAGTCTTTCCTTA